CCCCCCCCCCCCCCCCCCCCCCCCCCCCCCCCCCCCCCCCCCCCCCCCCCCCCCCCCCCCCCCCCCCCCCCCCCCCCCCCCCCCCCCCCCCCCCCCCCCCCCCCCCCCCCCCACGCACCCTCCCACAGCTCCCTAAAATTCAGGCCTCTGGATATAGTACGCTAGGAAACGAAACTGATATACTGTTTAGTATTTTCAAAACCTTCCTGTAAACGAATGTGCACGTATTTTCTGAAACTCAACATTTCAAGAAAATAAAGAATAGTTAGTATTGGGTATAGAAGTATAGTAGAAAAAATTCCAAATCACTCTCAGAGCCTCCGTCTGCTAGAAAGTTTTTGACACTTCTGTCTTTCTCATTTTTATAGATAAATACAAAACAAAATCTCGACCCTTTTCTTTTTACAACGATAAAAATATCATGGTAATGATCGTCCATTTGTCATACTTTGTAAATTATTATTTTGAGACAAATTGCAGTGTAATCAATCTATGTATTTAATATCAAAAATAGAAAATTGTAAAAAATAAATGAGTGACTAAAATAATACTAGATGTAATTTTTGTCTATCATTCATGTTTTAGGAACTAATTGTTGTAAATATTTTATATCGTAATGTAAGAATTCTTTTCGATATTCTTGTGGACGTTTACCATTTAAGTCTAACGTATATTCATCGTCATCACTACCTGAAACGAAAGAAATTTACTTATGGAATCTCGTTCATTCTTTATACATACCATAATGTCGAAGTAAAGATAATGTATCATCTAGCTCTTTACCACTCAAATGAATATACGCTAAATGGTAGCATGTTTGATTCTAAAAACAGGACAAAAAAAGTTAGAAATTAACAATTTCGTGAACGAAAACTTACCATCTAAAATGTGATAAATTTGACGAGAAAATACAGCAAATAAGTAGTTTCATCAAACAGAAATAATTCTCACTTACATTCTAAATAAAAAGTACAACCAATTGATGACAGTCCATAAAAAAGCTTTTTTGTTATTCTTACAGTTGTTATTTTTAATAATTTTTTCATTTCTGTATTCAATTTGACATTTTTTGCAATCAACTTGATTACTTCAAGTGAACCAAAACGACAAGCCCAATGAAGAGCAGTCTAGAAAGTAATTCAAGATGTAGTAGATAATTCTTTAATACATTTTCTATTAATTGGGCGAAAAAATGCCTGATGAATATGTTTTACTTACATACTAAAATAAATAAAAATTGGAGTAAAAATTCAGTTATTATTTTAATTTGAATTAACATCCAAAATACTGTAATACTCACACCCTATAGAGATGGCAAAAAATATTGGTTTTTATACTCATACCAAATTTACCATTTTACCTGTAACGTATCCTATTAATAAATGAAAAATAATAGAACATTTTGTTGATATGTGATTAATTTTTGTCTCTTACAGTTCTCGATGCTAAAGTGGGGTGGTCTTTTAATAACCGATGCATCTCCATGTAATCACATTTTGCAGAACTCACTGTCCATTGTCGTTCAACATTTGTATCATAACCATTCTAAACATATACGGTCAAATATAGGCCCTTGTAAAGGACAATACATAGTTTAAAAGTTATTAAGCTAACATGAACAATGATAATATGGAAATTATCCTCAAATCTAAAACTGCAGTGGGATACCAGTTTAGATATTTGGAAGAGTGCGAAGATGGATCCAAAATATAAAATATTCGGCAATAGTGTCATTTTACACAAAGTAATGACTATTTTTCAACTGTGTTATATTATCTTTGAGTTAACGCTCTCGTTAACGCTGTTCACAAATGAATACCTGTTCGATATCAACCATCGTTTGCTGAATTAATCATTGATGAATGAAATTTTAAATGTATCATAGGGTTTGATTTCGGTATGATTTGATGTCCACTCAAATTGTCAGTAAAATACCTACACATTTTTTATTAGCGAAGAAACCAATCACCTGTCTTTGCATGCTTATGCAATTGATCAACGAATTTACATAGACGATTTTTAAAATATCTAATATTGTATATTAAACTTTTTTTTAAGTGGAATATGGTTACAAAATGATCTTCGTGCATATAATACTGCTTGACATTTGTGCAGAGCTGTTCGTTCATAATGTCAAGCATTCGTTCATAATTGACTCAGTGATAAAGATAACATTTATGTTGCAGACATTTCTACATGACTTCGTCTGATCATTACATTTATAAGGAATGATGTAAACACGACCAAAAACCGGCAGCCTTACTTAGTGATAGATGGTAGTTTCAATTTGTTTAACAACAACAGTCCGTTTTCCATATATGGAGATTTTCGATGTTTTACAAAAGTAAAACAAAAATCTCACTGGAAGCAAAGCAGAATAATTATTAGACTTTGAAATAGATAACCACTCTATGCAATTTCCTGCTTAAGCTAAATTTACGATTGCGTTACAATACAATGATTTAAGAAGAATGTGATATGTACACTGGAATAGATTAAGTCAACTACTGATCGAACAACCACGATTTTTAATATAATTCTTTGTACCTTGCATTACAGAACCAGTGTGATTCGAGGACTTGGGGGTAAGAATGATAAGAGATCTTGATAAAAGTCTAAGCAGTCAAAATCTTGGAATAACTGCTTTCTTTATAGTACTCTTGTATCTAAAACTTTAATGATCTTGATAAAATATCAAGAAATCAAGATTGTAACACTAAAGATTCTCTAGGCTGGTATTTCACGTGAGAATTAAATGAGATGGATGCGGTGATTTGTCATATTGACAGAATAGTAAATCAACGTGACAATCTTGACTACGATGTTACTTTTCACGAAACCAGCGGCGTATCCAAGGGGGGCAAATGGACAATTGCCCATTTCATTTGGTGATTTGCCCATTGTAATTTTTATTAGTAAGTTTTTGCCCATTGAAATTTTACTTGAGAGATATAGGCATGAAGTTTTTTTCGTATAATGTTTAGTAAGATATATGTAAGAGTGTGGATAGACAGACTTATCTGTTTATTTTTGAATTAGATAGTAAATGTATTTGAGTTTGTAGATAGTAAAAATTTGAGTTTGATGCAAATCTTTGATTGAAAAAATCTCATTTCATTTTTTTTCTGTTCTTTTTGGACCACAAATGTTTTGGCCCACCAACAAAAACCTTGCCCATTTCGCCCATCGTTTTTTCCGACATAATAGAAGTTTGCCCATTGGTCTAAAAATCCTGTTTACGCCCGAGACTGAGTACTTCGTAAACAGAAACCTAACTTAGGCCATTGGGTATACGCGGCATTATGCGCGATTGAGAATGAATCTTTCTTTTAAGAAATTCTTTGCGATGGAGCATGTGCCGAGAAAATGGTAACTTATGTCCATAATTGTTAATTACTGGTCCGTCGAACCTTCCTGATTTATATAAAACACCGTGTGATTAACTAATAAAAAAACACGTTCTTTTGAATGAATATTCAAGCTAGTGGTGCTAAAAGCGTTCGACCTGCGCATTTGGTATATTAAACCATAAAATCGAGTTTTAATAATTATCCAATAGGATAGAAACTTTAGGATTATTTCTAATTCGAGGATAGATAGAACTGATAACGTTTTATCAAAATCTACAGTAAAATCATCCATTTTTTTCTGTGAGGTTAATCTAACTCTATTTTTGCAGTTAAAAAGTGGCACAAGATTTTCTGAACGTCATTACTTGTGCAGCTTAAAATCATCATACACGCCCTCAGTAACGTTGCTAAGCAATATACCTCTTTCTGTAGCAAAAAGAATTGCGTTTTCATTCAGAATTCAATAATCGTTATCGCTAGAACTATCATGCATTATTTATTTCACTTTTGCGCAAACTTACTTAGTGAAAACGAACCTCGCTGAAGGCTGAGACGACCTGTGTTGATTGGTCAAAGAGAAAGTGAAAGTAGCTAGCTGTTATAACAATTCAAGAGAGTCATTCTCAGTTCAGATTAATATGTTTTCTTTTGTGTGAGCTGGATAGATCTTTCCTAAACTATATTATAAACATACAAAGTAGGATGTTGTAAGTTCTCGGACTATTTTGTTTTTATCTACTTGAATTAACAATAAACACACACAAAGTTCAGATAGATGGTTGATGATTAAAGTGTCTCGGATAAGTTTGCAATCGATTCTTTTTATTAGGAATCGATTTATAATATTTGAGACTAAATTAAATCGAGTACAACATGTCAGGATTCTATGTCAGAATAAATATGATTTAAAATCCATCGCAGTTGTTCTACATGAAATTCTTAAAGATAGTCCTAGTTTAAACGGGTTGATGGTTTCTTAGTTCAGCTTGATTCTTAAAGACTTGTCTCATTTTGGAGAGCAAAAACACCGAATGACGAAGGAGTATCACTGAGTTGGGCTCGTTTTGATTTGTTATCGGATCGAATTCGAATCGACTTTTTGAACGTCATGTATAGGTTTGACAGCTGTGCCCTGAACACCAAAGATCGGTCACTATTCGAAATCTGTCGTTATTGAGAATGTTCGTGATTATCATTCTTTGTTTCAATATTTTAGAATCTTTTTGTAATAGATTTTGTTCGATAAAACAAGATAGGCAGGTCATTGAGGTACACGATAGTGTTATCTTATGCTCAAGAGTATGGACAGATGAGACATTTTTAGTCTCAATTTCAAATATATTACATATCTGCAAACAGTGCGCATAAGATTAGTCAGTCAATTTTGCTAACCAAAAAATTAGCCACTATCTAGTTACCAGAGATACATCTATTTAGGCTCTAAACCACTAAAGATGACATACGAACAGCAAATGGATTTTCATATTTTGTTTATATCGGATCGTGTTAGGTCTGACTTATCTATCTTTATCCGAAACTATTTGAAGAAACATAATATTTTTAATGTTATACTTCTAAACCTATGAACTGGACTGAGAAAGTCTATACTATGCGAATCTTGATCGATCCATATTTTTATTCCATAGAAGTTGAGTTCTGTTGGAGAAAATTGAGAAATACGAGGAGAATTTCGAGTTTCTCGCCTCTGATTTAGAAAACAGGAAGTTTCTCAGCGAGGAAGAGGAATTTCTAAAAATTCTCTTTGTAACTTTGGAGCTGGACTTCTAGCGGTTCTGACAAGGTGCAAATATTTGGTCTACCCTCTCTATACAAACCTGTGTTAGGTCTGCAAAATTCGATTTGGTTTTTAACTCAAACACATTTTGGCCTACGCGAGAATTTGGCTTTTGGATTTAAGGACTTGCGAACATCATTCCTAGAACCAGCTTTTCATAAGGAATCTAAAAATATTAGCCCCAGAGTTATATGACTAAAGCGAAAAAAGTTATGGCGTGTTTTCTGAAAACAAAAACTTCTCCGTAATCGGAGTTTTTCTCCATGAAGATGCGATTGAAAAGAAGTCGAAAGGTGATATTCGTGATCAGCTCGACAAGACGAATCAGAATATGTATGATTAAGTCAAAAACAAATTTTGCTCGAAGTTTGAATTACGAGCACCTTATAACATTATCTTTTTATTCTTCGTTGACAACATCACGATACCAAAAATTTTGATCAGTCAGTAATTTCCCACATAATAAAATTTCTCATCCATGGAGTTGTTTTCTACACTTATTCACCAAAATTTTATATCTTTTACTGCCAGTGACAAAATGTTTTTTTAGAACTGAAAGAATAATACAAATAGTATTAATCTAAAAAAAGTTAAATCATACTATACATATGGGCTGCCACGTATAAAAATAAATCCCCATAAATAATTGATGAATTCAACGAAGGATAATGAATTGTTTATGATTAACCCAGATGATAAATCCTACAAACAGTGTGACGAGTATTCAATTTTCACGAACAGTATTATCTATGTTGTAACAAATTGAAATATTATCGATTAATAGCATTCGAAATTGTTTACGTTTCTCGATTTTCCTCTATAGATTTCTGATAGGGATACTCTGAAATAATACCTAAGAACATTTATTTTTGCAGTAGAGATTATCCAATATTTGTTATTGTAAATTCAAACACAAATGATATACAACATACATACGATTAAAAATATTACGACTAGAAAATAATTGGTCTTGTAATTCATTTGAATATTAATTATTGATTATCTGTTACTATTACCTTAAATTTTATCGTGTTCAATGTATTATTCTTGGCAATGAACCAAATTGATGAAAAGACATTAATTGTTGTATAACTATTCTCTAAAAAGACCGATATATATTAAAAAAATCCAAAACAATCTACAAAAAATTTGTTTTTCCAAAAACACATCGTGTATTCACGTTGAATATTTCTGTAAATTTATTGTTTAGCTATTTTTTTTATTTGAATTACATACTTCTATAACAACAAACAAACATTACTATAATAAAAGACGCCATTAGCAGCACGTAAAACACATTCAAATAACTACTTTTTCTTTCTCTTGTTCCTTTTGATACAAACTATTATCATCTAAAATTCTTTGCATAAGACTTTCTCGAATTTGTATTTGTTGAATTTGTTCCATATCTTGTATACGCTTTTTATCCACTCGTTTATAAAATAGGACATATGGTGTAGCCGATGTGTACTGAGTACAATTATCGGTCAGTGCTTCATAACTCGACGCTGTAACTGTGTCATCGTTTAGAAGAAACCAATCATTTACAAAGTAATCTTCTTGATCTATGGTAGGAGTAGTGGTAGAAGTTGGTTTTAAGTCTCTTGCATAACAATAATAGTGGCCACCATGCAATGTATAACCGGTGTGAACAATGATACAAACAAGACAATATTTAGCGGATGACGATGATTGCTCTGATAAAGGTTGATATTGAACATTCAATATTTTTGGATAACTCATTTTTGTAAAAATTTTTCGAAAGACATTAGTCGTTTTATCATATTCAAATCGATTTAGAGACAAAACTAAATATTCGGGTGCATTTAACAACACCGTAAATCTTTCAGCATCTTGCAATGATCGACATTTTACACAACGATATTGATTATCTTCTTTGAGTTCTTCCTTTTGAAAGTAGTAGTCAAATGCATATTGTAGATTTAACGAGATATCTACGTTTGAATTCAATGTTTGATGTAAACTTAAACGTGGTGTAACCAGACTCGTAGTCATAGTCGAAGAATATGTTGGCGGAGAAATAGAATAATGGAATGTAACGGACGACGCAGCTGATTTTTGTTTTCCATCAGAATGAATTTTATCTTTGAACAAGAGAAATATCGTACAATGACGGTTACAGACTAAAAGAGAAAAAGATAGTTATTGTCCATTTTAACAAAATTACCTGACACGAGTGTAGCAGCTATTTGTCGTGCAACATCCTCGCTAGCTGAATTGCCATTTCGTGGCAATTCTGCGATTAATGTTTCATTCACTGTTGATGCAATTGTGGCTTCTTCCTGATCTGCGAAGGATGGTGATACCTGTGGTGTTGGTGTACTCAATGAATAAAATCTACCAAAACGTCTTATCGATGGAGAGCCTATAGAGCAATTTCGATTCAACTCTCTTTCACTTCGATTCATAGTATCTGTTTCTGATGTTGTTGCGGTGATGCTCTCAACTGATGGTATAGGTAAAAACAGATAATTTGCCGATTCTTCTTGACGTGATTCGGCATGACAGCGTAAACATCGATTAACTTGAATAGTTTTTATACCAAATATAATTTCTGTGTGACTAATAGACGATGATGTTGTTGTCGTTATTGGTGCTGAAATAGAATCAACAGTAGAGTACTTTGAGCTAAAAAGAGATACTTTTTGAAATTTTTGTCGTATTTCTGCGAGTTCTTAGCTATTAATGATCAGAGAAACTTACTATTAAACATGGTGGTAGATCGATGGTTTTTCTACAAGCTGATTTCTGAAAAAGTCCAGTAATTTTCTAATAGAGCCCTGCAAAATTGCTTCAGACCCGTACCCATACGGGTACGAATCTGGAACGAAAAATTTGAAAAGTACAGATTCGAGTAGGGGTTTGAATTTGAAAAATTGTTTTGCTGATCTGTGTCTATGCGCGTTGCAGTGATGATCTAAAATTTGGAGTTGCTTGCAAAAATTAGAAAACACGCATAACAGATTCACAGTATCATGTGTACTGTATAAAGGAAAGCTTGTATTGTCGAATTTAGTGTTACTCAATATCATTTGGAATCCATTGCTCCGATGATTGATCTTGTTCGATGTGATTCTATTTATGTTCAACAACCTAGTTACAAGGATATTACAAGCCAAAGAACAACTTTGTTTGAACACATATAGTTAGTTAGCAGTTTAGTAACTCTAATGCAGACTAATGATATTTGTAGAAAACTTTGAGAATACCGCGTATAAAAGTGTTAAAAATACGGATACGAGTGGTTTCAAATCACCACTGCTCCGGATCTGGAAAGCTACGTGTCTAAAAAAACGGTAAACCACAGGGCTCTATTTACCAGTCAAAATGAAAATGCGCCGAGTCTCATTCAAGTATCACTTTTTACCCGAAAATATTCTATTTGATTCTTCGACTACGGCACTTCTTTTCTGTTCATCTTTTATAGAATCAAGGAGATAACCTAAAAATTCGACACAATCTTGTTGATCATGATTAAACCATGGCGGACGTACGATATTAACAATATTAGCCACATTGATGTACGGTCGTTTGGATAACTTTAATGAGGAAAAGATAACTTGAATCTCTCTTAGAATTGGTAGATTATCAAAATGATATTCACATATAAATTTTCGAAACTGATCACAATGATAGAGCGCTTGTAACACTGAATTCACATAACATGTATTACCCAAATTGATGATGCCTACTCGTCCGATATCAATATTATTTTTTGCTGTTTGAGCTGCGGTTGTTGCTGTTGTAGACGTTATGATGTGAGATGATTCACTAACACTATTGGTGGGTGATTTTTGTTGATGACCATCTATCATTTCTGTCGAATGAAAATGATTATGTTGATTAACACGTTGTTTGACAATATTCATATCAGGTAATGGATAACCTCGCATAATTTGTCTCAATATGAGATCGTTTGTAAAATCATAGGTTTCATGAATTGACAATGCCACATGACACATTTCAACAATTTTTGGTCGTAAATCATCAAGTGCAGCGGATGATGATGTGCCACCACTATTTTTATATTGTTCATTTTCTTCTTGTTGTAAACTGTCAAATAATTTTGGTAATACTTTTAAAACTGTTTGAAATGTTTTTAATCGTTTATCATAGTCAATATACCAAGAAATAATTTGGAAAGCGTTTTCACGCGTATTAACAACATATAATTTTTCTAAAATGGTAAACTATACAAAATATAGTCACAAACGTCTGGAAAAGAAACTAACCTAAAAGAAAGAACAATGTATCATCAATTGTTTTTGCTACCCAATAATGTTGATTAAATGTTATTAAACCCATAAAAAATCCTTGAATCCATGTTTCATATCTGACATGTTGAAGATATTGAACGGGCGTTGATATAAGCTCAATCAATCGCTTGATTAATCTTGCCAGTTTTTCACCAGTCAATTTATCAACAGCAAACATTTGTTTCAATGTATATTCGGCTATGTCTAGATTAATATGAGCAAACAATGGTATAATAGCTGAACTAAATGTTGTTTTATAGATTGACTGTTGTGTAGGATGAGTTTGTGTCCATTTCATACTGGATAGTTCTAAAAATAAATGTTCAATAGCCAAGATTTGAATTGGTTGCTGAACTACAGTAAAACTCGGAGATGTTGTTGTTGGAGTCGATACTTCTTGCCAAATGATGACTAATACTTTATTGATTTCATCAATGAGTCTTAAATGATAGAGTAAACTTCTAGAATTATTGATGTTTAACGTATGATGCAAAAATGTATCAATTGTATAAATAGAAAAATCGTATAAATGTTGACGTTTTAAAATAATTAGATGACGTTGTAATTGTCGCTGTTGACTTCGAAATAGTGATTGATCTAGATGATGATTTTCAACAGCATCAAAACGTGCTAACAAAGTGCAAAATGCTCCTAAACAATCAATATCATATTGTGTGTGTTTAATTAGATAATCAAATAAATAATCGATGATAAAACGATAGAAATTATATTGTTTTTCAGAATATTCGGATGATGTATAAAAATATAACAATTCCATATACCTTAAATATAAAAAGAATAGAAAAAGATTATAGGATTTGAGAGACTTAATCATAGTTCTTCAAAAACATTTTTTGAATCTTTCTAATATTCTCTAGTATTGATCAGAAAGAGTAACTGTCGTTATACTACTAGACAAATGATACAAGAGATTTTCTTTTCTAACGTATCATAATGTGTGTACCTCATAATAAAAATCACTTTTTTCAATGGTTGAGAAAATAATTTTTTTAATCGTTCATGATTAAGAACATGATTAATGAAAAATTCTTGATTTTTTGCTAATGTTTCTACGAGGATTATTAAAAATTGATCATCTATTTTAGCATCAAACAATAATGTTTCTAAAAAATTTAAAACTTTTTCTCCTTCATCTACATTAAACTGTTGTCTCATCCATATTTGATAGAGAATATTACTATAAGTATGTATTTTTTCAGCTACTATTGGAGTACGTTGATTTTCGATATATAATCGACAAATAGTGTTATACATTGATGTCGACGATAACAATTGTTGTTGATGTGTTGAACGTTCACTAGTTGATGATGTAGTGATCTTAGCATCTGTTATCGAGAATGATTTACGATTATTTGACATAATTTATTTGAAGAAAATATGAACAATAACGTATTTTTTTAATAAAATCATAGCGAACGAAATTATAAACAGATTGAGAAAAATGGAACTTATCAATGAACAATATGATTCATATTATAAAATAGATAAGAGAGAAAGAGAGTAGAGAATTGTTTCATATATAATTTAATTACAAATTTTCATTATTGTTAAGAAGCATAGGAAGATAAATAGAATCAAATATTTTTTTTTTTCATAGACGTTACTTTTTATTTTTCGTTGTTGCCGGAAAGTAATTTCGAGCGCCTAGTATCAACTTGATAATATAGACCATTCATTCCTTGTATACTCCATCAGGAATTCATTAAAAGAATGACAAACTGATGTATTGTAAACTATACTTTGTTTTATTACAATAAAATCCAAAGGATAATACAAATTGTTAGCCAAAACTTACGTTTCAAAAGACTAGCCTAAATTTAAACACTTAGTTAAATTATTTTGTTTTCTCTCATCCAATACAATTTTTCTCAAATTAGTGAGAATTATCAACTGTGCATTGGACACACAAACTTCAAAAATAAATTAAAATACTTATGTATTTTTTAAAAGCTGGTTCGTTTAAGCTATGTTCAGAGCTGATAGCAGAAGAAAATTTTTAATATACATTCCCGAAAAAATCGAAAAATTCTATTGACTATGTCGCCTTACTCGTAACTTTTGTTTTTGATGATATCTCACTCATCTATTTTCGCTCATTTTGCTAGTGAGATCTGTACACATACAGTTGAAGAGAACAATACGTTACTATATTTAAATGTTAATATTATACGATTATTACATAGTAAAAACATTTGGAACAACAGTCCATTGTAAATTTATATTTATTCAAATGACATTCTTTTTTTCCAATAAAATATAAACATGTTATAGATTGTTAGCATGATCTAAAGAGTCCCAATTACTCTTTTCTTACGTTAGCCAAAAACTTGACCTGGAATTTGATCTAGTTTGAAAAATGATTATTCTCTATCTTAATTAATTTATAATTCTATCTTATTCACTAGCATTAGAATCAGTATAGGTCTTTGCTAAATGTTTTCAAGCAAAAAAATTACTCTATCTATTGTAGATTGTGAAAAGAAACACATATCTATAATAGGACTATGTGAGCACAGTGCTTTAAAAACTTATTGACCACAGACAATCAATAGTTATTAAATATAAAAAGCTCCAATGAGGAAAAAAAATAGTCTGAGATTAATGCTGAGAATATGCTGGAGTAGAAATTATATTAATTTACAAAAAATTTACGACGTTCTTTTTACAATATAGAATAAAAAAGCTGTACTCTTTCTGCTCTTAATTAAGCATAACTATAAGTTTTGTTTAGTTATACAGAAGTTTCTAAAACGTGAATATCAAAGTAAAAAAGAAATGATCATGAGATAAATATGAATTAGAAATCGAACATAAAATTGATTGGATAAATGTCAAAGCAGTATGACAAGATATCATGTATAACAACTATTGATTAAAGAATCATTGTTCATTTGAATTTTAAATATCACAGTATGTAGTTATGATTGTCTACCACGATGATTTACCTGGAAAATTAGTATTCGTTGTTTATAACTAAGTAATATATTTAGATAAATTTTTGCATTTCACAAGCTGAACCGGTGTGAACAATGATACAAACAAGACAATATTTAGCGGATGACGATGATTGCTCTGATAAAGGTTGATATTGAACATTCAATATTTTTGGATAACTCATTTTTGTAAAAATTTTTCGAAAGACGGTAATCGTTTTATCATATTCAAACCGATTTAGAGCGGAAGTTGGACATTATGGCTAAAAACTAGGATAAACATTGGATATGTCCTAGTATTAATCAGATCGAGAAAACTACGGCTTTTGTTAGAAAATGTTCAAATTTTGAAATTTTTATTTACCAACTCTGTTCTATTCAACAGTATGGTTATACACGTAATTGAAATAAAAACCAAGCAGATTCAAAAGCAGATATCTGGTCACTGTCCTCTAATAAGAAGCAAAATAAGAGCAGACCTCCGGCAGAATCTATTATGGTATCACATTTTTATTAATTTTTGTACACGTATCAGATATATAAGAAATCAAACTGAGATGTGCATCTAAAATATGTTTACATTAATACTATGTCCTAACTTTCCGTTCTATCATATATAATTGTATTAACTACGATATGCTAAGAGAAAATATTAATAGCAAATAATTATAATCAAAGTGTAAAATCATATCGTTCTTCATCATTTAAAATAATCTTTTAATTTCAAAATTCGATTAGTTTTGTACAGAACGTTTAAATATAATCTCTTTGAAAGTACCCAAAAAAAAATAGCGCTACTTTTTGTCCTCGATTGATTTTATTTTTTTATGACAATTGTGTTAGAGTGATGCATGGCACATGGTAGCAATGTACCAAACACTTGGCCAAGGGTAGACCATGGCCCACCCCTTAGAAATTTCATTTTCTTCATTTCACAGTAGAAAAAAATATTTTGATTGAAATTGAAATTAAAAATACTACACAAGAACTTTTTTTACTGTTTTCTTTGGACAAAAAAAAAGGATTGGCCCACCCCTTACTGGAATCCTGGGTACATCGGTGGCACATAGTCCATTACGGAGTTTCCTTTGAAGTCGATATAAGATTTTTCACATCGGTAATATCCCCACAATTTTCAAAATACTTTTTAAATTTTAATAAACCATTAAATATTTTGGTGAATGAATAGATAATTTTGTTGTATCTCTAATATTTGACTGATATACATTTTTCTTTTTATAAAACAAAAAATATATAATTTGTAAATATCTCACAAATTATGATCAGACTGTTGCTGTATTCGTTAATTTCTCTAAATTTTACAGAACATTAATGGAGTTAATGCATAAAAATACTCTCATGCGTTACTTCTAATCTCAAGGAATATCTATTAAGTAAAATATGTAATTCCGTTTCTATTCGGATAAAAAATGTACCTTGTCTGTGTAACAATTCTATTTAAGTTTTATCGCACATACAACGGTTTTAAAAACAAGAAGAAAAGCGGCAAAAAATATTGTATACAATACTTTTTCCGTTTTTCGCTTAAAAATAATACTTCATTATTAGAAAACAAGTAAATAAACAAACACATACAACTTTTCAAAACAGAGATAGATGTATATAGCAAAGTTATCAACAAAAAACGTAAACTATCTTTGTATACAAATCTAGTTTAGGAATCGCACCTATTATATCATACATTACAACAAGAGAGAAGTACAAATAAATAGGCTTAACTATGTACATGAAGTTGAAAACAAAAAAACGACAGGTATTAAAATTAATACCTCACGCAACACATTTTTGCTAAAAGGAAAGATAGGAATATATAAATTAGTGAAATAAAATAAATGAAACTGATAAAACAGTTAGGCTAAAAACGTTGTTGTGATTGTTGACCTTGTTGTTGATACGATTGGCAGTGCTGAGATTGTTGAGCATTTGGATTTCTCTAGAAGAAAAAGAAAAATATAATAAATCATTCAGTTTTTTAAAATCATCATCCGCTGGGCAATGTAGGCGGTCTATGGAGGGAAAAAAACTTAATCTCTCAATTGATGGGAAAAAAATACTGAGTAAAAACTAGAAAATTGGACAATAAAATCGGCAGAATACCAAAACAGAATTGACAAACACATAAAAAGCAAGATAGAAAAAGTATTGATTGGGTATATTCGAAGACCATTACTACGATGTTACATAATGGATGTTAGAACAAGATAGAGATGTACATGTCAAGGAGAGATTTTGAAATTGCGACCAAAATAGAGCATATCACACTGCCGCTTTATTAACCAGGACAACGAATTGAAAAGAAATGGAAAGAAAACAAAGTGGAAATACTTTGTTTATCTATCATATGAAATGGATTTAACAAATAATTATCAGATAGGTTTTCAAGGATAAGACTTAGAACTTTACTACACTAGTATAAAGACTATAAGGAGAATTTACCATTTACACTCCCGTAATGTAAAGTAGATAGAAGTTATACAGAGTTCTAAGTCACACGTGATACAATAATATTTATTTATTTATTTATTCATACTTGATAGTCATATGGGTCATTATAACGCATTTTTTTATCCGGTGGTTGATTGCTGCTAGAAGATGGATGTTGATGCTGAAAAAGTTAAAAAACTATTTGTTAAAAATAAATCAAAAGTGAAAAGGAATATCATATACTTGTTGTGGATTCGATTGAGCATGCTGTGCATTTGTCATAACAATTTGATGTTGCGATGGAGCATGTTGAGATTGTTGAACATGTGAAGTTTTTTGTACATGAGATTGCTGTTGATGCTGCTGTTGTTGTTGTTGTTGTTGTTGTTGAGTGAGAGACGTAGCCTGTTCTATTTTTATCGTTGGTTCTGTCTTGATATTTCCGGCAACACCTAGGCAATTTCCCCCAGCTGCATCAGATTCTTCATCTGATATAAATTCTCGTCTAGGATAAGGTATTTGCACAGCATCAAACACACTGGAAAAAAAGAAAGAGAAACACCCATTGTTTCAAATTGTTTCATTAGTCTTAGTCAGTCACTCTTACTCTTCTGTTGGTCGTGGATCTTCTTTAAAATACAAATCATTCATTGCATCGAGAGCTGTATAATAAAAATTATCCTCTAATAGTACATCAGAAGAATGTATTTTACATACCTGAAAGACGTTTTGTAGGATCCATTGTTAATAATTTTGTTAACAACATAAATGAACGAGTATCTGCACGTACACTATGTTTATCCATATATTTACCCAAATTACAGTTTGCATAACTGACAAATAGACAAAACAGAATATTTAAAACAATACAAAGTTAAGCTGAGCATAAATACCCCTACAAATTTCGGACAGTACGATTACTTACTTATTTTTCTTGAATTCTTTCGATAAACGAGAATAATCGGGCATCTTCTTAAGATCTTCCCATTCTTTATCTAAAGTGAAATCAATAAGAGAGAGAAATATAGATTCTTTTCTATACAACTTCATACTAACCAGCTGGAAAACCCATAATACTAAATATTCGATCGATTTGATCATGATGATATGGCGTACTTGTTTTGATATCTTCTTGCTTACAATGAAAAATCGGTTCAGACGTTAGTAGTTCCGAGAAAATACAGCCAATTGCCCAAATATCTTTTTAACCCAAAGAAAAAATTAAGATATATAATAATTGAGAAATGAGAAGAATGAGTAAGTGGCTACCGATTGCTTTTGTATAATGTCGAGCACCTAATAATAATTCTGGAGCACGATACCAAAACGTCACTACAACTGGATCCAAGTCAGCTAATGGTTTTAATGGACAATTAAATAAACGTGCAAAACCCATATCGGCTATTTTTACTCGACCACGTTCAACTCCATCTCCCATAACCAAAATATTTGCAGGTTTCTAAGAAGAGGATACTAGATATAATCAAACTATCTAACTTCTAAATAAATTTTGTTTTACAAACTGAAGGTCCAATCATCGATTTTGGTGACATCTGACGGATATATTCGCAACAGAAGTTGAGAGAAAAGTAACAGAAAGGCAGTCTCGAGGACTGCGCGCGTAGTAAGGCTCAGTTCAAATTTCAAAGGTTTCAGTTGTTCTGTAACGAAAAAGCGTTTGTAAAAAAGAATTTATTTAGTACAAACAAGTTGAGTTTAAAATATCAAAATCATTATTTAACGTCTGTTTATATACATACCAAATCTCGATGTAAAACCCAATTTGAATGGAGATAATGTATACCTAACAAAGATAAAAAACATGTCAAGAATATACAAACACTTTTTGAATGAATGATATACCAGCTAATATTTGGTACAAAAGCGATTTGACCATAGCACGTGCACATATCACAGGCTTTTTATTTTGTTTTGCAGCACGATGAAATTTAATAATATGCTGGAGTAAGAAAAAAAGGGATAAAAACAAATTGTTACAAAACAATAATGAAGTAGAAACATACGTACCCATAAATCATGTTCAGCAAAATCAAATAATAAAAATACTTTTCTATCAGCATGAGATAAAAATACTCGTTGTAAAGTAATCACATTAATATGTTTTAATTCGCGTAATAGCTAAAAATAGATTAGTGTAGAAGAATACATAACAATTGCGGTGAATAAATTTTACTTACAGCTATTTCACGACATGCTGACAATGAAAGGCCACTACCTTCTATTTGTTTTAGAGCATAGTCTCTTGTGTCCGTTCTAATAATAAGAAACAAATGACAAACTATTATTTGAATTTTTAAGAAAAAAAAGTGACGTACCCATCTTTTTTCTTTGCTTTATATACATGTCCATCTAAAACATGGAAATATTATGCAACTCAATATTTGGATAGAAACGCTGTTGGCTACTCACAAGTGCCACGGCCCACTTTGCATCCTTGAAAATCGAATACATCTTCTACTCGTTGACGTTCTTGATCTAATTGTGCTTTAAAATCAGCATCCATTAAACGAAACGATAATACGATTGATAAAATCAAACTATACAACTATCGGTTCACATCATCATCGTTCAATATAAGCATCGCAACGCTTTCACAACTATAACACAATAAGCCAGAAGAAAATAAATTATCTTAAAAAAAAAAATCATGCGAATATTAAGATTAATCTGACCACATAAAAAAAAATTATCTATTTAAAGAAACTATATGAAAAAGTTTGTGATAATCAAATACAAGGTTACGCACAAAAATAAAATTTGTTAGTTTGGCTGAAAGAATTTTTTAAAACAAAAAAAGAATTATCACTTGTCTCTTCATCTAGTTTTTGTTGGCTAGAAGAAGACTGAAACAAATTCCATTTTCTAGATAAAGGATCAAAACAAAGTACAAAAAAATAGGTAATAAAAACTCACTATAACAACTAAATACCAAAACATATGTTTTTATTTACAAAAATATGTTCTATTCTATTTATCAATTTTTCTTACGTATTATTGCTGTCTGACAGTGATGATGTTCGAAAAACCGTAAACTATCATAGTATTATATTTGAAACTAACAAAAATGATTCCCATAATTCTTATCAATTTTCTTTCACAGAATTTTTTAGCATCGCTGGCCACCAATTCAAATATTACAGATTCTCTATGATATTTTCGATAATTAAATATACTAATTACAACTATTAATTTATTCTGTAAGCCTGAGAGAAGTCAGTTTTCGCCAAATTTGACAGAACATCAGTATAGTACCAATCCACTATAACATCAGGGCCCCATTACATACAATCATGCAATAAACTAACAGTTAATTCATTGTGTCAGTAGACATTTAATAAAAAAAGGTTTGATTATTCGATCTTTTCTCAGTCCTCTTTTTAGCACAGCTTGTTCTAGATCTTCCAATAAAGTCAAAGATCATGTCGAAAAGTTTTCATCTATATAAATAGGTGATCAAATACTTGAAGGCTAATAAATCTGCTTATTTTCACATCCAGTACTACAGAAATATCCGAACAGTATATATCACTATTCAACAAAGATACTGTCGAGATCTGCATCAAACAATCTTATGTTAACGTAGGATTGTTTTTTCAACTCTACTTTTCTATACAAAAACAATGTTTTGTTGATAATGAATGTTGCTGAACTGTAATTAAATCACGATCTGATGTTCATGTCATCATTAGGAGAAACAACTCTAAACACGTGGTTTTGTAATTAGACTGATTATCATATGTATGTGTGTGCAAAAAATGGAAAAATGATCGTCTGATACTACCTGGATGAGCCAATTATAAAAGAAAAGAAATAAACGCTAGTTCATTTTAAATATTTTAAAGATATGTTGAAGATAACTAAGGCAAACTCAGATATCATGTTAGACATGTTTAATTTGCCAGAGTTAAATAAAAGTTAAACGCAACAGAGTGCGCCAAGAGACGGCGTAATATATATGCTGAAACTGAAACAATTCTCACAAAGAAGTAAAGTGAAAAGTCGAATAATCACGAAAGAAACTACATCGAACAGATACTAAATTATTAAATATCTTCGAGCAATACTCCTGGGAAGCCGAGAGTTTCCAGAATTCTTCCCATTTCTGAGTTCCTCCGTGTGTGAAACAGCAAGTGAATAGACACAAAACAGTGGATTTAGTTTTGAAGCTTACTGCAAAGCTAAGTTTGTGTGATCGAATCTCTATTCGTACAAAAATTGATTTTGTGTTTTTCCGCAGTTTTAGTTTAGAATACTGGAATGGAATTTTTCCGGATGGATTTCAAAAGAATGAAGTTGGGTCTAGTCCGGTATTCGAATTCGATTGAAAGTAATTTGTAAATGCGTACTAAATGCTAAAAGTATTCTTCTAGTGTGTTGAATGAAGATCATCAATGCATGTCACCGGAACCAAAAACAAAGTTGATTTTCAGTTGCTGAAGTGCTTTTTTGTATTCGCACACTCAATAGTCCAGAAGATTTTCTATTTTTGGCGAGGGATAATTTCAAAAGTTTAGGAAAAATTTTGAAACAAAATGACGCCAAAAAGTTTCCATGCGAGAATGATATTAGTTTGAAAACTTTCCCTAAACTTTTGGATTCCTGGTTAAAAATAGAAAATCTTCTGGGTTATCGAGTGTGCTGAATAAGAAAAAGCACTTTTCAGCAACTCAAAATCAACTTTATTTTTTTTCCGGTGATATGCTTATGTTGTGAGTGCCGACCGATGGAAAGCGCGAGCTTGTTTACTTAAAAAGAAAAATGTTGGGTAACAGATTGATGTACTCGTGAGTGTAGCGTGGCGCAGCTTAAATCAAGAAACCGAGAGAATCGTAGATGAGCATTATCTAGTTATTTAGTTAAATTTATTTTATTATCTTTTTTCGCTTGTTTGATCGCGCTTGAATTAAATCTATCATTTAACAGGTATCTTATTCTCTTTACTTCGTATCCTCAGTTGTGCTACTCAAGCCGACGCAAATGGAGAATGTACACATCGAACGTGCTTTGTTCTTTGATACGTGTTTTAACATATTTCAACATATTTCACAAGTGAAAAGCTTCTAAACGAAGGGCGGTGATAGCAACGATTCATTGTCATTGCAACTTAAAAATATAAGAGAGTAATATAAGTTTTTCGACATTTCGAACGAAATCAAGTATTCCTTGAGAAAAATGAAAGGTTAATGTGGACCCTAGTCGAGACTCCCGGCAAAACTCCAGCAGGAATCGTAAGGAGTCCTGATGACTCTCGCAGAAACTTTCTAACGTGAAAAGTCCAACATGGAGTCATGAGGAGTCCCCAAAAAAATTCTTGCAGGAGTCCCGTCGAGAGTCCTGTTGGAGAAAGTCATGCATGGACACCTACTGAACTCCTCAGAGAGCAGAATGTTTTTCTTATGATTCCCATTAGAGAAAGTCTGTCAAGAGTCCCTAGAAATGTGTACTCCCCTGGAGTCACCCTCACACTCCCCAACCTGTGCAATCCCCGAGGAGTCCCTGCCAACTCCCCATTCACCGTTTGTTTTGCAGATAGGCAAGCCTAGTCGCGACAACCCGCCCAAAAACCCACCCCCCCCCCGTACCCGGGTCCGCGGGG